TCAAGACTGGATCACTTGGTGTCAATTGGAGTCCCCAAACATTTGTTTAGTGTTGTTAAAAAGAAAAAGGGAGTCACACAGTGGTCAACATACTCCCATCCCAACTTTTTAGGACATGTTGCAGGCATCATATTTGGAATAAGCATATATTCACAAAAAACAGTAATGTTCAAAAGGTAAAATCTGAAATATTGTGTTTTTATACTGTTTTCGAATTAATATAGGTCCAACAGAAAATAATAATCACTGCTTTCTGTTTTCTTATTTGCATTTCACATACTGTCCCAACTTTTTTGCAAGAAAGGTAAAAGAAAGCAGGCATACCATGTACACATGCATGCAGGCTCCATCAGTGCTGCTGGAATTAGCCTGATGAATATTCCATTAGAACTGTTACCTATTCACAGATTGCAATGAAAGCATTCCCATCTTGAGGAAGTCTCAAATTGCTTCATTTTCATTCACAAATGCTCTGGATGCACAGCGTTAAGTGTAAGCTAAGGAAAGTGCGTGGTTGATGAATGCTTCACCATGAAGCATTGCCTTTTATATCTTGCTGCTTGCAGTATTCCCTCACTGCAGTCATGCTCTCTGGTGGGTTTCTTCTCAACTGTAGTTTTAAATTGACTGGGTGGGATTAGTGGTTGAGCTCTTTTGAAAAGCTGTATTGCCTTCACCATTCTACAACTAGAGCTGCAGTAATCAGGGGTCCTATTACTTTCCCAATCATCCCTTTTCAGGCTTGTTTACGATGCTTTCTGCCTTGTCTCAGAAATGTTTAGATCAATATCAAGATACATGCGCCTTTGCAAGCTTTTTTTCTGTTGCTGTGGTACAGCAAAACTGCCCTGACATCCAGCACCCAGTGCTAATGGTCAGCCCCCAGAAACTTCAGAGATTAGTGGACTTTAATCTCCTGGCGGCTAGTAAGCCATTACATTAATTGCTTAACTTTGTCGCCTCACGTGTCTCAGGTTTGTAAGTGCTGGCTTTCCCTTTTTTGTGTCAAAGCTAGTTCTGGTTTCATCTAGTTTCACTCAATAAGCTAATATTGGATTGAGGAGGATTGTCATTGGAAAGCCAGCGTTCACAGTGCTTATGAAGCTTTAACCTGCATTTAGATCAATAAAGATGACATTATATCTCTCTTTTTCCCTTAAAATTAAGCAGGCTGTTTTTGCTGCTGAGCTTTTAGACTGATGTATTTAAATGAACTCTGCTCTGATTGGCTGCCCTGCATTGTGCCTTGTTAAAACAATCCAGGGTGAAACACTTCTTATAACATCAACATGAATGGGTGGGCACAACTGTGGTAGGCTGAATAGGTGTATGTACAGTACTGAGCAAAAAAATGACCCTTTTGTTTATTCAATTTACAGTCAAAAAAGCCATTAAGTACCTGCTTTTCAGTGTTAAAAAAAAACAGGAAACATATTGTAGCACTCACCACTGTTAGAGAGGACTTATTATGCTCATTTTTAATGTTCATAATTTTATTTTTTGGGTCTACTCAAAAAGATTTACACATTATTTTTCTCATACTGCACGTCTCTGTTCACCCTCTGTTTGAAATGCTTTTTTACAGCTCCTTTGTCTTTAAGCCCCCTATCCCGATGAGCCCAGTGTACTCTGATTGGTCAGCTCGCCCACTCTGTTTTGATTGGTCATCTGCTAGAGTGGATGTTCCGCCCCTGTCATGCAGTCTGCAGACAGACCCTTCTCTCCTGAGCGGCTATAAACGCTGGTGTGGCTGTTTTTCCGACGCCGTTGGTTCTACCAATTCAGTTCAAGCCAGAGTCCGATCTTGAAAGTCAGGTCAGCATTTTCTCAACCTGGCTACAAAACTGAACAAACTTTTATTGGCATCCAGTAGTTGCTGTGCATTGTGTGAGGCCATGCCAAGCCAGTCGGTTGGCGGGCAATAAGGATTGAGATTGCATCATCTTGTAACAGAGGAAAAGGGTTGGAATTCCAGCAAGGCATTTCATGCAGCTGAGAAAAGTGGTTTCTATAGAAGAGACTTACTCCCTTTAGTGTGAACTTTGACCTTTGTAACTTTTCAGACCATTTACATGCACAGAAAAGCTATATATCACACTAAAGGAAAGGGAAAAACTGGAAAAGCATAATAGGTCCCCTTTAGAAGATTGTGCTTTCGCACAAGTCGTGGGAATTTCCACCAGTTGTCAGCAACAGTCACACTATACATAAACGTAGCTTTTCTCTCTCTAACAACTAATTCTCTACCCAGCTCACACACATGCCCGGGATGGTTTCTAGCCCCCCCCCTCCAGTCAGCAAAATTAACCAAGTGCAATAAACACATAACCTAAAATAAACATGCTAAAACATTTCTTGAAAATGCTACAATATATCTAAAAGAAAACTTAACACAAGCCTCCAACACAAAGTATAGTATCAAATCTATCAGCATTTAATCTGTCCACTCTTTCCTTTTGTGCACTCTAATGCCTCCATAACTCTTTCATCCTTCCCATCTTTTTAAACCAGCCACTTACAGCCGTGTCCTCCCAACAAAAGCAGTTCCCAAAGAAGTCACTGACATTATGTTCCTCTTCAAAGAGACGCTAAGGCAGGCTTTACATGATGAAACTTTCATGCAACTAGTTGTATGCTGTAAGTTGTCTTCAACGTAACTCCTGTGTAACTTTATTTTTGAATTATTTAGAGTAATCATAAAGTTACACACAACACATTCAATTACTCCACTAGATAGCCAAATCAGCATTTTTTATGTTTATATATGTGTCATTTATCTGTTTGTCTAGGATCTAGGATCTGTTCTGTGTATGTTTAGCCTTTTAGATTAATGTTCAATTAAACTGTCAAGCTGTGACAGTTATAGCCTACTTAATGCCTTGCTCATCTTGTCCTAGAAACAGTTCATCGAAGAGCATGTCTGTGTCTCCTCTTCTGTAATAATTTTCATCTTTTGGATCCCAAGTTAATCTCTGTGTAAAATCAGGTGGATGGAGGGGAGAAGATGAAGAAGAAGTTGCATAGCTCATGATAGCAGACTAGAAGAATAAACACTGACACAAGCAGCTGTTTACACAGCTGTTATCTTAAGCTGCCTGTTTGCAGAAATGTTTGCTTCAAGAAACGTTTGTCGTCACGGCTCAGAAACTGGCGATATGAAAAACTACCAAACTTGGGACATTTTGGGTCATTTTCAACTGCCCAACAATAATGTTCTGGTCCCCTGATCCGGTTGAAATTAATAGTTTAAATATATATCATTCACTGCGTTCTGCAATTTGATTGGCTGTTTAATGAAAGTTGCGGCAGAGTTTCAAATGAGTTGAAGGAGTATCAAGTGATATTTAGGTTCATGTAGGTTTTGAGCAACTAAAGTTGCATGTAATATTCACACAACGCTATGAGTCTGAAAGGATGTGTAGCTGTCAAAAAGCTGTTACTGAGAAAAGTAAAGGTAAGAAAAAAATAGTGCTTGAACACAAAAATCTGAGATGTGGTTTCATAGACTTTGTTTGGGATTACTTGGATCATGCGAAGCAGAAAATACAACTGACTTCTAAGACTGAACTTTGGAGATGTGGAAAAATATCCCTGCAGGTTTTTTTTTGGTTTTTTTTTGAAAAATGTTAATTAATCCTCCTGAGAAAAGGTTAAAGCTGTAATAAAGGCAAAGGGTGTACAGGCTGAAAACAGAAAAATGTTATACTGTAGCATCAGCATAGAGGAAGAACCGGATAACTTAGCTCATACAGGCGAATGCTCTTTTATTTCGAAAGGGCACTTCAACAAGAGCAGAGAAACACCCAGACCAGCACTACCCAAACACAAAGAGGACACAACACACGAGGAGGGTAGACACTTCCAACACGTACACCCACCGTCCTCATTCACAGTTACAATAATAAGTACAAACTGAACCACACAAAAATAGCAACAGCAGGAGTCACAACCAAATGTCCTTTTAACTGGGAGTTTGGCGTACTTAGCATGGCCATACCCCCTAAGCTCACTACGCAGTGCCACAATATGTAATTATAACTGAAGTTTGGAAGGAGGAACATGCCTGAAACCCCTCCTTCTTCCAATCTAACATCCTATAAATTCACATCCTCACCTTCTATTCCTGTGACGAAGTGTTCTCAGTCCCCACAGCCACCCCATCTCCTCTCTGTTCCTCAGTCCTGCATCAGTCCTACAACAGTTATGAGGGGGCCTCGTGCTACAAGCAGAAGCTGCCCAAGCCCAGCCCAAGTTCTCTGAGCTTCCCCCTCCCTCAATCAGTCATCCCTCATACTACCACCATGTTGAAGGCACTCACAAAATTAGATTGAGTTATAATAGACCTCTGTGTAATTTTCTGTTAAATATATGTTTTCTGTAATTTCTCTGAGGCTGAAAAATTAAAAAGTAACTTTTACTAATGGATGTTATGACTGTAAATTAAATAATTTACACAATAGTGTACATAAGTATAGTGGTTTTCGTGAAATCACAAAGACAAAGATTTTAAAATGGGCTAGATTTGCAGCTTAGTTTTGGGCTATAAACCTGCACTTTACACCAAAACTCAGCCCTTTAATCATTACATGTGAATATTTGGTTGATAAGGAGCTGAGGAGTCATTGAAGTGAAGACCCTCTTTCTCTGTTCTTACAGTGCTTTTACAACAAATACACATGGGAACAGAACAGCCTAGAACAAACTATTACTGATTTCCACCACTGTTCTGTTGTGTAATGAAACGTATGCAAGGTCTAGCTTCCACTGAGTCATTTGCCACTGTTATGCACAAATCTTCCAATTATTATTCTGGCTGTGATTTGGATGCTCTTTGTCTCTGCCGATGTCATAGGCTTTCCTAGACCATTCCATACCCCTGACTCAGGCTTGTATTAAGACGCCTCTGTGCTTGGATCATGTGCTATTTCTGTGTATATTTACCGCTGTCTCTCTCTCTCTCTCTCTCTCTCTCTCTCCACCTCTTTCTCTCTTGCTTATAGACAGCTCAAACGGTGCTGCTGGTCGTAGCGGCGTTCCTCTTGTGCTGGATGCCCCACCATATCATTGCCATGTGGGTGGAGTTTGGCGACTTCCCGCTAAACGATGCCTCCTTCGCCTTCCGTATCGTATCGCACTGTTTGGCCTACGGCAACTCCTGCGTCAACCCCATCCTCTATGCCTTCTTGTCAGAGAACTTCCGTAAGGCGTGCCGGCAGGTGTTCACCTGCCACATCTTCTATCCTCCCCCACCCGTGAAAAAAATAGCACGAATCAGGATGGAGAACTTCTCTACCACGCATTCCACCACCAACGTGTGAGAAGCCTGCGCACGGCAAGCTCCACCAAAGCTGAACCTGAGCCACTGTTTACTGTTTGAGATGAGCCTTAAATTTGTGCCCAGTCAAAACAGCTAAATTGCTTGTCATTATTCACATCAGAGATACAACAAAGCAGCTGTGCCTTGCGCACCTGACTGCAAGCTGGTAATCCTCTAGTGCCGCTGGCATTAGAAGGATGACTATCCTATTAACGCTGCTACCTATTCACAGGTAGTCTTGGAGCCTTGGAGAACTGAAAGTAATTATGCCCTCAAGAAGTTTCAAATTGCCACATTTTCATTTTGCACATGCTCCGGCCAAGAGGAGCCAGGAGACGCTGAAGCCATCTGGAATGATGTGGGTAAGAAGGGCTTTGGGGAAGAGAAGGCTAACTTGTAAAAAGATGTGGATTTAATTGAATTGAGACTTGAGAGAAGTGCAAAGAGAAAAACCAGCACTGAAGAAGGCCTTCACTTCAAACATACTGTTTTTTTTTGTTTTTTTAATCTCAATTTAGAAAAAAACTTGAAATATTACAGTAATTGTGTTGTAATTTGTGAATATTGAGACATGAATTAATCAAGCTAACTATTTCTGTGGATAAAGACGCTGTAAACTAAGCTGTAAACACAAGTGGCTGTCCAAATTCATTTAACCAGTGCTACACTAATCTATGTTGTTTCACGTGCCAGATGTTTTGTTTAAAATGGTTAAATATGTGTTATGTAAAGCCTGTATACCTTTGTAGGCATCAGCGTAATAAAAGAGCAGACACAGATATTTACACAGTCCCTTTATGGATAAATATTTAGAGCTCATACAACCAGAACAAACCCAGGCATATTTACGGATGGCTACACTGTATCTTATCTTGAAATAAATGTTTATGGAAAACCAACCCACTAATGTTCTGTTATTCCCAAAGCTGAAATTTAAGCAAGCGTCCGTGGTCAGGGAACAGCTCGGAGCTGCAAAGCTAATACAAAGCAGGTACCTTCACAAAAACACTTGAGCTGTAGAGCATGCCTCCCAGCCCTGGGTATTTCTCCCTTTGATGTGCAAAGGACACAAAGCAGGCGAGACAGGAGAGACACAAGCAGGTCACTTTCTTCCTGGCAGAATCTTTTCAAATGAGGAATCGCAACCAGTGTGTAAGACAATCCCACTCAGGCCTTCTGTCTTTCTCAAAAAAGCTCTCTGACATGGCAGCTTTTAATGTCTCTAAAAGCATGAAAAGCAATAAATTGCAGCCGAAATAAAACAAAAAAGAAAAAGTTAATGCTTCCTGAAAGTAGTCTTACATAATGAAATTCGCCTTTAAAAAAGTCATGAAGTCGACTTTCTTTTGTGTTCTTGTCTATTATGATAACTCTTTTGTGATGGCACTCCACCACTGAATAAAATCCAAGGAGCTATTTTACACAAAAAAGGAAAAACTGGACTGAGTCGACCACAAGTGAATGGTGACTGAAAGGAATGTCCCCGAAGTCTTTTCCTATTGGACAGACTTGACATTAACCCCAGGTTATCTGGCTAGCTGAGAAATCCTGCATTGTGAAATACTGCCCAGGGAGGCACTGAACTTTATAGCCTGGATGCCCAGACAAAGATTAAGCCTAGGCCTGGACTACATATCATTCTGAATAGAGATTCTCCATGTAGTCTAGGAAGCTGACCCTAACATACTGTGCAAAAATCAGACCATTCCTCATTCAATTTAATTTAATCCAGTCAAAAGAGCCATTAAGCATAAATTTTTATTTTTCAGAATTTTTCTGAGGTGATTAGATATAAGATAATCCACTTGCATAAAGAAAGGCAGAGTCGAAAGAAAACAGGAGTTTCCAGACTGGAATTCAAACAAGTTATTAAAAGATGCAGAGGAAACAGACCTCCTAACAACCGGGCAAGACCCGGCAGAAACAGTCACCATCAGATAAACAGTACTTAAAGCTTTCATCTTTGGGAGAGAGGAGAAAATCAAGCTCCACTCTTACTTCGATCTGAAATAATCCACAGGTGTTTCTGTCCATCCTTCCACTGTGAGAAGACAACTCAGCACTATAGGTCTGTTTACAAACTAAAGACAGAGGATACACAAGGCCCCAAATCAAGAGCCTCCATGCACTTGAGGCCGATGAAGGCATCCAAGCCGAGAAACACGAAAATGCAAAGTGTAAACAGTTTCTGTGTCTGAAAGGATGCGTAGCTGTCAATAAGCTGCTACTGGGAAAAGGAAATAGACAAAACAAAGAAACTCAAACAAAGAAGCTGCTGTTGTTTTCAGAACAATGACCAACCCAGAGTTCAGGCCTCAACATCACTGAATGTGTTTGAGATCACTTGGTTCATGGGAACCAGAAAATGCAACCAACTCCTAAGACTGAACCTTGGAGGTGTGGAAAAATATCCCTGCAGACTTCTTTGGAAAACTGAAAACAAGAAAAAAGAATGGAAGCTGTAAATAAAGAAAAAGGAGGACATACTAAATATTGATCATTTTGATGTTAAATTGTTTTCATTTTCTGTTAAATACATTGATACTGTCAGAACTTTACAGAAGCAAAAAAGATTTTTTAACTTTGAATGGAAGTGAATGTTGACAAGATTTTTCAATAATTATGGACTATTTCTATTCATCATAAAATTAACACAATTCAAAGGATAACTGGATATTTTGAAATTATGCAAAAAAGTTCAAAACTACAAAAATGGACATCTGCATGATTAATGTTTTCTGCTTATCATTCTGATGCTGAAAAATGAATAACTTAGTTAACATACTTAATGTCTGTTGTGAGTGCACATTATATAAATGGTGGTCTCTGACTGTATGTGTTAAAAACAACAGGCCTGTTTAAAGCTGGGTGCTATTCCTGGATGAAGTTAGTCAGCGCTACTCTGAACTCACCACTGTTTATACTGCTTCAAATCAACGTTTACAAAAAGTTCTCTCCTCTGGGTGACTACGTCACGAACTGGCAGGGTAAATATAGGACTCTATCTCATGGCAACCCTCCTGTTGTGCTATGATAAACAGTGGGTGGTAGAGCGTGCCCTCGCTCCTCCCTGTCTCTTGTGCACGCATGCCGGCGCACACAGACACATCATTTACGCTCCAGTGTTGTTTTATAGTGTAGCATCACAGTGTGTTCCCTGCATTACCTTTTTCCCCCCCCAAGGTATTTCCACAAATTTGTGTTAAAATATGGCCACACCTCGGGCTAGAAAGTAAAAAAACTTTTGGGAGTAAGTCAATGTACATAAAAGAGTGAGCTGAAATTTCTGTTTGCCTTATAGTACACCTGAGGCTAGCTTTTCTAGTCAGAGTTTACTGACCTGACTGGAATTCTAAAAATCATAAGTTATTTAAGGGATTTAAATGTCCAATAAATGTTCACAAAACCTTCACAAAATGTGAAAAACTCATGAATACTACTTGTAAACTTACAGACTTTATTAGCCCCCTTTTACCTTGTTCTTCAGTGGTCAGGACCCCCCTGGACCCTCACAGAGCAGGTACTATTTGGGTGGTGGTGGTGTGTTAGTGTGTGTTGTGCTGGTACGAGTGGATCAGACACAGCAGTGCTGCTGGAGTTTTTAAACACTGTCCACTCACTGTCCACTATATTAAACACTCCTACCTTGTCAGTCCACCTTGTAGATGTAAAGTCAGAGATGATAGCTAACAAAGTATGCAGAGAAACAGATGGACTACAGTCTGTAATTGTAGAACTACAAAGTGCAAAAGAAAGTGGAGCTGATAGAACAGACAATGAGCATAGAAACAAGGTGGTCATAATGTTATGCCTGATCGTTTGTGTGTGTGTGTGTATATATATACACACACACATATACATACATATTGCAGTCTTGAATGAAAGACTGTTTGGTTAATGTTAGCATTTTTTTAAACTCCGATTTTCAATTAATCACTACTCACAACTCTACCACATGGGTGACCTGAGTTTCAACAGGAAATTAACTCAAAAAGAAATTCAAATGCAATGTACTACTATGCATGGTTTATTTTCTACAGCAATCATTTAAATAAATAAATTCTGTATTCATATATCACTTTTGTGCCATTGAAGAACTATTTTGGTTCCTTAAAGACACTTTCAAAGACAGAACCATTTATTTTTTTAAACAGCTGTGAAGAATCTTTTTAAAGTTTAAAGAACCTCCACATAATGTAAATAATTTACACCAAAAGCTTTCTTCTAAAAACATCACCCAGGCTGAGAACCATTTAGGAACTTCTTAATACTAGTAATAGCGTTCTTGCCTAACACCCAAATTTGGAAAGGAAAAAAGTGAAACCAACGGCATTAATTGCTGGAACAAAACCTGAATGGTTAAAGTTATAACACATTCACTATCTGTTCTACTGTGGATGTATAAGGGTTCAGTGAATCCAGAATGAAAATTAGGTTTTTTTTAGACATTTAAATGTGCAATAAATACCTTGATAAAAATTGTATGGATAAGCAATGGAAGCTCAGGGCGATCAACAGGCTGAAAAAGCACCTTCCTTTTCTACAGCAACATACATGCCTAATACTCATAAGCAAGTACATACACAAGCAATGAGCACTCGCAGCAGTCCACAAGCTGTGCCTTGGCCAACACTAATGGCAGCCAAATAAACTTAAATATGGCATTTTTGGCTCATTTTAGGGCACAATTTCTTTGACCGAGTTTAACACTGGAAAAAACTGGAAATTGTGCCAGTGCTTCTGTACAGGCTCACATTTTTTAATTAAGCAAATAAACCATAATTGTGCATTAAAATTTGTGAGATTGCATTAACTTACTTTCACTTTTTTTTTTTTCCTAGTAATCGATATTGACAGCCCTATTTTCTACCACATGGGACATCAGAGTTTAGACAGGATGAAATCCAAAGTAAATCCAAATGCAAAGTGCTGCTATGCAAGTTTTTAAAATTAAACACCTCTAAAATAAAAGGGTCACAAATGGTAATTTTAAGCAATGCCATAGTAGAACCACTTTGGTTTCCTCAAGAAATTTTCAAAAGATGGCTCTTAAAAGAGCCACTTTAACAAATCATACAATGATTAAAAACTTCCACAAAATGTAAAAGTTCTCCATCAATTAAAAGATTTCCTAGAAATCTACAGCCAGTCCAAGAGCCACTCTTATTCTAGCCTGGGACATCTGAGTCTGGACAGTATAAAAGTGAAATTAAAGGCACTGTTAAAGGCATTAATGATTGGAACAAAATGTGAATGGGTAACATTTTAACCAGAAACACAATCAACCTTAAGCCCTAAACTGTTCTACTGTCAATGTATAAGTACAGTCAAACCTAAAAACAATCAACTTTCGAACCGACAATCTGCAGCACATTATTACAACCGTTTCACATTTTATACAACTTTTTTAATGTGTAAAATCAACAATTCTCTGTTCAGTCAAATTACTATGATACACAATAGAAGTCTTTAGTTGTATAGGTATTCTTTAGCAAGTTATTTAAATACACAAATATCAAAGGGGGGGCTGTAAATTTGTGTGTTCACTTTATCTCCTGTGACTCTGTTTTGGGGCTGGGTTTATGAATCTCTTTGTTCATCCCTGGTAAACATGTTCTTCTCCTGGCCGCAGTCTCAATGTTCTGTACCAGCTCTACATCCCATGGATGAGTAACAAAACTGAGAACGTGTCCTCCACCTGAGCCTCCTGCCCTGCCCACACGACCTGCACGGTGGATGTAGTCCGTACGGGATTCGGGGAAGTCATAGTTCACCACCAACCCCACCCTTTGTGTGTCAAGTCCTCGGGAAGCGATGTCAGTACAGAGCAGAACATCAATGTGCCCTTTCTGGAACTTCTGAAAGATTCCCTCTCTCATGGCTGCCGGCATTTCTCCCTGAAGCCGCATGTGACGCACGCCCATCTCTTCCAGCGTGTAGCCCAGCCAGTTGACGGTGGCTGCTGCATTGCAGAAAACTAACACACCTTTCTTTTCAGGCTCCACTTCCTTCAGAGCTTGGTGAAGCTCCAGAACCTTCTCACAGCCCCTTACTTTCAGAAAAGTCTGCTTCACATGCGGCATCAGGTAATGCAACATCCGGCTCTTGACTGTCACCAAGCTGCCCAGATCAGTTACTTTGCTGAGAAGTTCCCCAACTCCTCCAGGGAAGGTAGCGCCCACCACCACCAGCTGGGCTTTAGGGGTCGGGCCAGCCGTCTCAGCGAGGCTGGCAGCTACCTGGGTTTGGGACAGGATTTTCTCCAGCAAGTTTACAAAGCTGGGGTCAAACATGGTGTCGGCTTCATCCACTACCATGAAACGAAGCTCACTCAGATCCACCAAGCGCCGCCATAGCGCCTTCAGCAGGGCTCCAGGGGTGGCTACTAGAATGTGTGGCTGACCGTGGCAGAACGCAGCTTTGATGTTCCCAATCCCACGCCCCCCTCCCACTACCTTCACCTGTAGTCCAAATGGTTGACCCATGGCCCTCGCGACTGACGTGACCTGCTCCGCCAGCTCTCGTGAAGGCACAAGGACAACCGCCTGCATCCTCTGTTCAGAGTGAACTGCTTCTAGTTGCATCTCATGTAACTTGTGGATAACAGGGAGGAGGTAGGCAAGCGTTTTTCCACTACCTGTCTCCGCAGCACATAGAACATTATGTCCCTGCAGCAGTCTGGGAATGGTCTGCATCTGCACAGAAGTGGGATGAGTTATATTTTGGCTCTGCAGAGTCTCCACTAGTTCAGTGCAAAGATGAAGGCTGGCAAATGTCCTTCTCTGAGCAGCTCGCTCACGCCCAGCCTTTTTACTCTCCTCCTCACAGTCTGAGACAAACGGCGGAGCGTCCTGCGTGCTGTTTATGATAAAGTAGTCCCCAAAAGACTTACTGCTTTTCCACCCTTTCGATGCGAGAACTGGTTCTTCAAACTTCCCCAACGTGTAGCTAACAGACTGGTTGTGCTGTGGGTTCTTGCTCTTAATCAGCAGTCTACCGGGTCTTACTGTAGGCACTTTGGCGAAGCTCTTGTCTTTCACCTGTCTGACATTCTCTATCCGCTCCTGCATGTGTCGCGGGATGCGGATCACAGCCGGCTGGGAAGCTGTCGGAGATGACTGACGAACGCCACCGCTGGAAAACAGAGCCTGAAAATAAACTAAAGGACTTAAACTTCTTGACGGGTAGCAGTTTTTCCTCAGCAGCTGCTCGGAAACAAGGCGGAGGCAGACAGTCTTGGCGGAATGCATTTCTTCTCAGTAAAGTTCACCTCAGCTAACGGCTAACTGACAGCTAACAGCGGAACCGAGACGCGGCTGATACTTTTCAGACCGCGGGCGGCGGAATAGCGTCGTAAAGAGAACCTCCGGTAAACTGTCCGAAAAAAACTTAAACTTACATTTTTCTCTCGTACATCACTAAACCTCAAACCTGTACATGACCGCTGTGTGCGCTCTCACGTGTAGCGCTGCTGCTTCACACTGGCGCTGTCTGATGATGGCAGAAAACAGGACGTGCTGACAGACGCTATAATAAAAGACCCAGCAATCCTAAACGTGTCTTTTGCTGCGTTCATGATAATTGAGAACTCGGACTTTTAAACTATTTTTATGATTTTTAATAGATTTATTTATTTATTAAACATTTATTTATTTTATAATTTGTTATTTATTACAGAGCAACTTACTGTGCTACGTTCATGATAACTACTTTAAGTACTACTTAGTTTACGGACTTGTAAATTATTTGTTTGTTTGTTTGTTTGTTTGTTTACGGACACAACTTACGATGCTAAGTTCATGATAACTGTGAACTCAGACTTTTTTAACTGTGTTCATTTTTAATTTATTTATTTTCATTTTATTTATTTATTTTATTTATTCGTTTGTTAATTTTTTATATGCAGCAACTTACTGTGCTATGTTCATCATAACTTCGAACTCAGACTTTTATGCTGTTTTTATTTATTTATTTACTTACTTACTTACTTTTGAATACTCAGCAACTTTCAATGCTAAGTTCATGATAACTGCGAACTCGGACTTTTTATTAATTCATTTTTATTTTCTCGATTTCCTTTATTTATTCATTTATTTATTTTACAATACTCAGCCAGTTAGAGTGATACGTTCGTGATGACTGTGACTTCGGACTATTTATTTATTTATTTATTTATTTATATTTATGTATTGATACTCTGCGACTTACAATCAGTACATATTATAGGTAGATCCGTATGGTACATGGCAGAGCAGCTCAGCACAGCATAACAATAGTATTTAAAACATGTAAACTGGGACTGGGTTTTGAGCATACAAGAAATAATAATATATTTTGATCTACACCAATCAGGCATGACATTATGACTGCCTCCTTGTTTCTATGTTCATTGTCCATTTTATCAGCTCCACTTACTATATAGGTGCACTTTGTAGTTCTATAATTACAGACTGTAGTCCATCTGTTTCTCTACACACTTTGTTAGCCCCCTTTTACCCTGTTCTTTAGTGATCAGGACCCCCATGGACCCTCACAGAGCAGGTACTATTTGGGTGGTGGATCATTCTCAGCATTGCAGTAACACTGATGTGGTGGTGGTGTGTTAATGTGTGTTGTGCTGGTAGGAGTGGATCAGACACAGCAGTGCTGCTGGAGTTTTTAAACACTGTGTCCACTCACTGTCCACTCTATTAGACACTCCTACCTTTTCAGTCCACCTTGTAGATGTAAAGCCAGAGACGATAGCTCATCTTTTGCTGTACAGTATGAGCTAATCATCCTCTAGTCCTTCATTATAGGTCACAGGCCGCTGTTGACTGGATATTTTTGGTTAATGGTTAATTCTCAGTCCAGCAGTGACAATGAGGTGTTTAAAAACTCCAGCAGCACTGCTGTGTCTGATCCACTCGTACCAGCACAACACACACTAACACACCACAAGGAGGTGGTCATAATGTTATGCCTTATTTTACGGAATATATATATATATATATATATATATATATATATATATATATATATATATATATATATTTTCACAAAACATAAATAAATAAAATGTATAAGTAAATGAATAAAAATGAATAAGTATAAGATATGACAACTGTAAGTTTAGGGAGAATATTTATTATTTAGTCAAGTAAGAGTTTACAAGCAACAAATTCAGACTATTCAAACTCAGTGCTTCCTGCTTCATAAAATAGGATAAACAGAATAGCATAAACCTGGAAAAGGCTACCTAAAAAGTTTATATGTATGAAACTGGGGCACTAAAAACACAGTTTAGCCTGGTAAAATGCAAAATGCACTTCTCTTTATCATGCATATGCATTTGGGGGAGGGCCTTGTAAAATGTGGGTGAATTATCCAGAAAATGGGTGAAGATACTATGCATGCAGCCGATTATATATCCTGTTCAGTTAACTAAGGTTTGAGCAACTCATGGTGTGTAGATTTTTTATGTTTTAAGAACAAACGTAAATTTGCATCAAGGTCTCAAAAAGACAGTGGCAGCAGACGCAGCAGATAGATGGAGGTGCTGAAAGAATGTTTACCATCAGAGTAACACTGTTTAAACTGGGACCAGGGGTATGGATGTAAAAAAGATGTGGCACAAAATATGCTGTGATGTGGCCCCAATATGCACTCAGCTGTGCTACAGCAGTAAGCCGTGTCACACAGGTTCGTTGGTGAGTAGATGAGCGCAGATATGAGAGTTAAAGGTGTGCCATTCTTTGGATATGACTGTTTAAAATGGGCTATTCTGTGCAGACAGCCTGCACTTCTGAAGGCAGCTTGAAACGACACACTGCGGTGATCCACCCCGCGTTCATATCCTTTACAGTTTCTTTGAACAGCACTTGAGTTGTGCTTTAATCTTCAAGTGTTATTCATTTTAAATGTCAAAGCCAGAGAAGTTAGAAGGTAATGGCAAGACTCCAAGGTAAGTGGACATATTAAATTGACAGCAAGGCCAGTTCGCTCGGGGACCCTCCTTACAGGGCTAACGGCTAACATCTGGCCTTGGTCTATCAGAGCTGATCCAGCCAAAATCTGCAGGTGCATCAGTACATTAAAGCCAGGTTTGCTAGGTTAGGGGTTGGAACTCATCAGAGCGGGGCAATAGTACAGGGTTATTAGCACTCTAAACGGGCCACAAGGGGGCACGAGGACATGACGCCTCCCTCGATGGAATACTGTGCCCCCCAGGTTTGTCTTGCAACTAAGGGTGTTCTCACGCTATGCACGGTTGTCCCCCTTACCCACTCCCCTGTTGGCCTGCGTTCACTTTATGCTCACACAGCATTATTAGCAGTTGTATGTATGTATGTAGTTCATGGTTGTACTTACTGCATGGCTTATTTGAAGCTGTTTTGGGCACGCTGAGACACAGCACTACATGCAATGTAGTGATTTTCTGTTAACTGCGCTGCACGTATGAGAAGATTTTGACAAAGGCAGCTGACATTGAGGGAGGAATTTGCAGCTTCTTCAAACTGAACCAAACCTGTTATTAACCCAAATACTCTCGAATGAACTGAAAAGTGAGACACTGGGATCATTGACATCATGTTTGCATTCCGTGCCCAGGCATGGTGTGGAGCGATCAGACTAGTCAAATGAACTGGACCGTGGCGGTCAAACATGCTCGGGCACGGTACAGATTGCCTAGTGTGAATACACCCTTAGACTTTTATTTTTATCTATTTGTAGGGCAACATTATATTTATATGTCTTCTCAAACTGCATTCACATTAATGCATGGATTTTCTAGCTGAGCAAGCTGTTCAGACATGTCAGTTGTATTTGCCTGATAGACCTACGTGTTGCCATCAGTTTATCTCATTTTATTGACGTAAGTTTGTCATTTCAACTAAATTTTTTAATGTCTAGTTTCTACAATGTTCCACCAACCATTAGCTCTGCATCACTGCAAATTGAAACAGTCTAGTTGTTAAATACTACCATAGAAGAAAGTTTTTTATGTTTAGCTCCATCTGTCCACATACCTAGCATTAGCTTTAAAGTTAACAGTGTACTGTTGCTAGACAGATGCGCTAAACAAATTAACCAATCTGGACAAGAAAGGTGGACAGCACAGAGTATTTTGGAAAGATATCATTCCAGTCTGACAGCAAGGCCTGCTGTTCAGAGAGCACTGCATCTCAGATTAACATATGGAGCAAGAAGAGCAACGTGTGAAAACTCATTGTCAAAACTGAAGGACGTTTTCAGCGAGTACAGAAGGAGAATGTTGCACTCCAAAAGACCTTACCACAAGATTCAGTGGGGAATAGAAGGAGAAACTGCTTAGGAGATTCAAAGATACATCAATTCAGATGCAGCTTAGTTAGGGTAGGGTAGAGATTTGTTTTTCGTCTGTGTGCTTGGCGGTAATTAAGCAGGGAGCTACAGCACTCAAGTGACATTTTAAAAAGGTAAGAAAAGACGCTAAGAAGCAGGAATGCTGTGTAAGCACAGCGATTCGCATTGTCAGCACTGTGTGTCCTGTCGGTTTGTAAGTTTATTGCTTTTAAGTTTGTGCTGGGTAAGCTGGGTAAAATGCAGCTTTTCAGTTTTATTTGGTTTCCGTGTGTGGCTGGTGTTAGTTATTATAAACAGAGAAGCCTAGTGCCCGCTGTACATTGGCTAAGGGGAATCATGGGCCTGATGTTAGGGGTTGTAACAAAACACATATTTGCAGATTCAATACAATTTTCAAATTTGTGTTCAACATTCAATATAATTTTGGACATTTTATGTGTCAGAAATGTATTTTTCTGAGTACTAATTATCAGAGTTGGGTAGAGAAGTCTAAATCCATACTCATGTAAAAGTAGTGATGCTTGGGTATCATTAATTTTTGCTCCACCACTTTTGGAGGTGTGTCTCTACTGAGGGAGGGGGGAGAACTCTGAGAACTCGTTATGAATATAGTGAACTAGTTATGAAAGGAGTGATGTGGGACTGAAGAACAGGGAGGAGATGGGGTGGCAGTGGGGATTGCAAGCACTTAGTCAGAGGAACAGAAGGTAAGGATGTGAATTTATAGGGGATTAGTTTGGAAGAAGGAGTGCTTTCAGCCATGTTCCTCATCCCAAACTTCTGTTATAACATAACTACATCTTGTGCCTCAGGGACGATAAGCATTTGTGAAGAGAAAAAAGTTCAAACAGGCAGTACAGCGCTGATGTGCACTGAGGAACACATGCTCTGGTGTTGAATGTCCTCATTTGATATAAGACCTCCATAAAAATGCGTTTCCCCAAGCAATGAACTAAAGCAGGGTTCACTTAGAAGCGTCCCGAAACCCGCAATTTTTGCAGACAACTGTTCACCTCTTTGGTGCGGATCTAAATACAGGTGGAGGGTTCACAAGTCAAAACAAACTGAACTAAAGTTTCTCTTTTATGCCCTTATGCCATCACTTTTCTCTTTTTGATGTAAGTGTCCTTAACTCAATCAGAAGTGCAGAAGCGCCCCAGTACTTT